CGAGCGAGCCACATCATCTCCCTCCAGGGGTGGTGCAGCTTTTCACTAAGAGTCATAAATTAAAAATAAATAAATAAATAAATAAATAGAAGCACAGGGAGGGGAGAAAAGAAATCCCAAAGAGAAAAGGCCAAAAGGAAATGACCTTCCCTGCTATTAAATAGGTGACAGACGGGTATTATAAATGCATCGCGGGTTGGAAGGGAAAGGAAGGGCGAGGAGGTGACACATCAGCCACTTCAGCTCAAGGAGAGGCTGGGAAGGGGACAGGACCATGGACGAGCACAACCGCACGGTGGTTTTTTGGCAAGAGCCAGGACAGACATGGCAAGACTTCTGTTGGCAGGACACGTCCAGAGCAGCAACTAGGAAAAGAGAGTGGCTGCAAAGCACTAAAGGGAGGAAAAGGAGGCTCAGATCCCCTGGCTGCACCGAAGGGACACGGGCTTGGGTTGTATGGTCATATTTTCCAGCCAACTGCAAAGAGCTATATTAATTCCTCTAGCCTTCACTTGCCTTTAAATGTGATCACAGGAAGGGTTTGCAGAGCAGCAACATTCTGTTCTCCAACACTCCCATCACAGCCTATCACTATCAGATCTTTGTTTTTTTATGGAAGAAGACCAAGGAGACAGAAGGTAATTACTTACATAATTACCTAATTACCATAAGTACTCCCAGCCCACCCCATCTCTACTCTGGGATGGATGCAGCTGGAACTCCCATCAGTAGATTGTCCTGTCACATCTCATGCAAAGCACTTCATCCCACCTCTCAGGGCCAAAAGTTCCTAAAACTTTTTGAGTTTAAAAAGCTCAAAGCAAGCCCTGCTTACAGAAAAATCTGGGACACAGGTTTGCTGAGGAGCTGATTACTGGAGCAGTCAATCTCTCAATATTCCAAATGGGAGACGATGGGAGGGCTGGGGACAACCTCTCTTTTCTCACCTGACCTGCAGCACTGCTACTGCCCATCACAGAGTCCTTCCCACCTGGACTACCCTTGGGAAGTGTGTCCTGCTTCATCTGATCCACCATGCACATCCTGCCCACCATCCAGCCTGTCAATGCAATCAGTAATTGGGTATATGTTCTGCAGCACATGGTGGTCTCCTGTGCTGTCTCTATATGGTGTAAGGTCCCAAAAGAGCTAGTAGCAGAGGCCAGGCCACACATGCAACTGGAGATAAGCACCTTTTCCTTCCCTCCTGCTTGCTTTGTCGAGCCTCTGTCTCTTGCTAGGGAGAGGTAAAGGCTTTGGCCAGAAACTGGGTATCCTGGAGCTCAGCCAGCCCTCAGGGTGGGATGGAGCTCAGAGCAGGGGCACCTTGGTCAGGTTGCTTGGGACCATATCAATTCAGGCTCCAGGAATGAAGACCACAACATCTCTGGAGAACTTGGTTCAGCGCTTGGCCGTCCTCCCCATAAAAAAAACCTTTTTCTTATATTTAAGAGAAATTTCCTGAATGTCAATCTGTGCTAGCCAGTAATTCCTCATTCTGGCCATGAAAACAGGTGGGTCCCAGGTGGATACAAAAATCCCACTTCTGGGGTGCCCCAGTTCCCAGGATAGGAGTGTTACCCTGAGACCCCAAACCAGGATGCCGCAAGCCCTTGGAGAAGAGATGCAGATGGATATGAAACAAAAAGCTTGGAGATTCAACTCTTTTTATTATGGAAGTCTATAAAATAGCCACATGGATTATTTTTTTTTAAGATCACAAAATACACAACATTCATTTTAATATGCAACACATAATATTATATACATATTATAAACCACATGACTGAAACACATGTTCACACGGCACCAATTTCATAACGAAAAACCCCACAAGTGCTTTTTTCTTTTTTTAATATTAAAAACAACTGTGATAAAACATATTAATATTTTTCCAGACAATGTTTACAATAAAGAGAAAAAATCATATTTTACTAAATAACAAATATTTAACAGCAAAACTTTATACTAAATATCTATTTTGAATTATAACAAAAATAGTACTTATAATAGTTTATAAAGACAGACCAAAAAAAAAATTTGTGTATAAAATAATATTATAGCAAATTGGACTGTGCTAAGAAAAAAAAAAACAACAAACAATTCTGAGATTCAAAGTGCTTTATTCTGCAATCCCACTGCAGCAACTTTTTTAGTCAAGTTATATTAGTTAGGAATGGAAAAACAAAAGCATGACTTACTTATGCCTAGATTAACTACTCACACACACAAACATTATATATACACATGATGTAAGCATATATATATAATGGATGTATGCATCTTACATTACTGCTCTCCAATCAACCACTCACTCAAAAGCATGTTTGGTTTTCACTTTGTAATGATATTGGAAGTTAAAATAAAAATTTCAGCAAAACCCTTCACTGATTTCCTGTAAGCACAAGTGGGACCAAGCCCTTTTGGAAAAGTCTACCCAAGAGATTTTGCGCACCATAGTGTGGCGCAAAGCCACCTGTGAGCTTTAACCAGATCTTTTAACCTTGCTGTCTGTTCCCCTCTCCAGCTTCCCCCCCCTTTTCAGCTTCCTCTGCCCCAAGCTCAGCTGTATTCCCCTGACAGGTCTTGGATGGTAATGCAGGCTCCTGGAGGGCACCCTGGTGGTGGGTGTCCGATGGGTTTTCACCCTGCAGCTCCCCCCTGCAGACCATCCACCTCTTGCCCCTGTTCCCATGTCCTACAAGGTGTCATCAAGCACAAAGACCATGGACACCCTCATGTGTCACTTACCTTTCCCCAAGTCTTTGCCCCTGGGAGACTCACCCCTTCCCACCGCATTCAGGTTTATGTTCTTTGCTGCTTTGCCCTGTGAGATTATGATTCTGATTAAGCTCCTTTTGTCACCAGGAATGTTTTCTCTCAATCAGGGACAAGGAAAATACCAGAAAGCTCAACAGTGCCTGAGTTACCATTGTTTCACTCAAAATTTCCAGCCTGGCAAACTAGGTGAGCCTCTGCTTCAGAGACATGGTGCACAAAATTAAAGGCTCCTGAGACCTTGCTTTTGGGTTTGGCACATTGTTTACCAACCAGGAGGCAAAGTCTGGATCTGAATGGTATCTCCTAGAAGATTGGGAGTTTTATTTCAGTTTAAATCAACCTGAAAATCAAGCTGTGAACCCTGGCATGAGTGGAGACCATCTGCCGGGATGCTCCTGGGGGTTTCTGGCAGCTTGGCTGACAGCAATCCGACCTCAAGTGTTTCCCTTGGCTAAAAAACTGCCTCCCTCCTCCTTGCCCCCACCGGATGATGGGCTGGCAAAGGCAGCCACCACCATCGCTTGCTTCACACTTCCTTCGACCTTCCAAAGAGGCACCCACTCGTCAAAAGCACAACATGCAAAGCAACCTGGTAAGCCACATCTGCCCCTTTGCCTTTCTTATTTCAACCCCTCTGACTTGTCTGGACACCTTTAAAAGCAGAAAGCCAAGCTGACCACCCAAGCATGAGATATTTTCCCATCACAGTTAGGAGAGATCTCAGCCATGGTCCTTGTCTTTTTCTTTCCACAGCAGAGAACAGGAGATGGGAGAAGAGTGGGGCTGGACAGGCTGGGTGGAGATGCCTCGAGTCAGAGAGGGATCTCCCAACCTGGTACTTGACTCTGGTCTGGACCAAATGCCTGCCGGGATGCTCTGGGAGCATTTGCTCTCCACCCATGTGCAAGGTCATGTCCTCTTTCAACACAACCCACCCATCTCACACTCAACCCAGAAGCCTCTTACATGCAAAAAATAAAATAAAAAAACATAAACCCACCCAGCAAATCAAAGGCAAGATACCTTGGTGGCCACTTGCTTGTGCTGGAGAAGCTTTGGGCAGGACCCTTCTCCCAGGTTAGCGGTGGGATGGGGCAGACAGCTTGCAAGGACCCCATCGCTCAGTCTCCTTCCTGCCGAGCTCTCCCATCGCCAAAAAACCCCAATCACAAGACAAACAATGCATACATTGGCTTATTTATAGACATCACCTTTAATGCAAATGCCTCCCGTGGAAGCGGGTGCACCGAAATGAGCAGCTCCGAGCGGTGCGGCTTTGCTCAGTGCCCCAGTGCTTGGAGAGTGTGGTGGGTCAGAGGGGCCATGCAGTTCTGAGGCTGGTGCCTGCACCTTGAGGGAGAGCAAAGGCACCAAAATGCCCCCAAAACAGGTGCCTTCGCACAGGAAAGGGGCTGGTGAGGGGCTGAGGCAGGGGAATGGGTGCACACAGGCTGTGTAGCAGCAGCAGGAAACTCAACGGAGAAAAAAAAGGACACACATCCCCCACCACCCGTAGCCCCAAATGCAAAATGCATTTTGCAAAATGCAAATATGCACTTGTCCGAGGCCTCAGCGGGACATCTCACCATCCATTCAGCCCTTGGACAAGACACCACAGGGTTTTTCAGTCCCGCAGAAGAGGTGAAACAGCAGCTCTCCATCCCCAGCCTGCCCTGGCACCAGTGGGAGAGGGAATGGGAACAGGCATCACTCGTCTCCCCCTCGCCAAGAAAAGCTTCCAACGCCCCAAAATAAAAAACACAACCAACCAAATTAAAAAAAAAAAAAGAACAGAGGCCACCCGAGAACTGTGCCGGGACGCCAGACCTCTGATCACCAGCTGTTTTCCAAAGCCTTTCCTGCAGTCGGGCCTTTGCAGCGCTCCTCCTTGCAGCAGAAGTGTTTTATAGATATTTATATATATATATATTTATAATATTTAGATACTGTGTATGGTCAGACATCCCAGCTCGACTCGGGTTTTGCAACTCTTCCTCCTTTCAAATGAAACAAGATGCACGACGACACCCCAACCTTGCCTGCGCCCCACAGGTAGAGCAAAACAGTTTTGGCAGCTTCACCAGTGGAGAAAGCAGTCCTGACCGAGAGGCTCGGTGAAGCGAGCATCATGGAGAAGCTTCTCATCCCCCTCTCCTTCCCTCCTGTTCGTTCCCTTGCCCCCACCCCACCCCTCCGTCCCCCGGCCACCCGTCCCTCGTGCTGCCAGCGTGGGCTTTACACCGTCGCCCCAAGCATGGCATCTGTCCCCGTCAGGATCTCGTTCTGGTTGGAATCCAGTCCAAAAAATTTGACCTTGAGTCCATCAACGGGGTGGACCACGGGCACCAGAGTGATTTTGGGAAAAGTCCTGGTGGCGAGCTCGAAGCGGCTGGTGCTGGCCAACTCAATGGCCAGCGCCTTGAGGAAGAGCTTGGCCAGGTGCTTGCCCAGACAGGTCCGTACGCCTCCTCCGAAGGGGAGGTAGTGGAACCTGCCGTCTTTATCTTCGCTGCGACCCTGCCCAAAGCGGTCAGGGTCGAAGACGTCCACGTCCTTGAAGACAGGGGCAGTGTCGTGGGTGTCCCGGATACTGTACATGACACTCCAGCCTTTGGGGATTTGGAAACCCTGCAGGAAAAAAGGGAAGGGATGGAGAGAAAACCAGAGCGAGTCAACCCTACTGCAAACACAGAGGGAGCGGGAGGACGAGATAAAGCCATTTTGCTTTGTCTGCTTTTTCCCCATTTTCTTTGGGTTTATTACTCGAGCGTGATGCAGATTTAAAAGAAAACCAGAGGGAACAGCACAAAGGGCTGGGAGATTAGTATCCTGGGTTTATTCCTGCCTCTATCCCAAGGACCCGACGGGTGATCCATTGCTATTTATTTGCTTTGCGGTCGCTGGCAGGAGTCGCCTACCAGAAACCCCGCAGAGCTCGACTGCCGCTGGGGAAATGGAAGCAGCTTTTCTCGTGCCCGTGCCGTGCCCCACGCGCCAGCCAGCCCTCCCCAGAGCATCCCATGGCTTTGCTCACACCCCGCTGCCTGTCAGCCCCACACACCCAACGCACATGTCAGGGCCTGGGCGATGAGAAACAGGGTGGATTTATCATCCCCTGAGCACTTTGAAAGGTTTCCGACTCAAATCATTACATTAGTAGGATTTACAGCAACAAACCGGGTCTCAAGATTTTGTTTTGCTAGTAGGAAATTCCAGCCATTGCGGTGAGTAATCCGCCTGTCATCTAGAAGCCTGGAGATGCCCTTTGCAGTAAACCTTTCCCTTGTCACACCCCAGTTTAGTTTTTGGCGTCAAACATTGTCATGAGTTGCTCTTTGAAGCACCACGCCTGTCTCCTCTTTGACAGCTCAAGTGCATCCCTTCCCTGCCATGGGCCACATCCCATCACCCTCCTCTGAATCCAGAGCAGTTCCACCTCCCATCACCAGCAGGACCTAATCTGTCCTCCCTGAGGTCTCATCTAAGCCAAGCTCATGCAAGCTTTGCAAAAAGATGCAGAAAGCTGTTTTGGGGAGCTCACAGTGCAGCTGCACCCTGAGGAGATAGCAATACTCACATCCAGCTCAAAGGTTTGCAGCACTGTCCGGTACCCCCCAGAGATGGGGGTGAAGAGGCGAAGCACCTCCTTGATGACGCAGTCCAGGTAGTGGAGGCTGTTGATGTTGTCGAGCCGGAGGGAGCCCTCGCAGATGCAGCCGTTGTGGAGGATGCCTTTGCTGCGCAGCTCCTCTCGCAGCTTCTCCAGGACCCGGGGGTGTTTGAGGAGCTGCATGATCAGAGAAGTGCTGGCGCTGGCGGTGGTGGCATAGGCAGCAAAGATGAGCTCTAGGGTTCCATCCTGAAAGGTAAGAGGGAAGCCAGGGTAAGACATGAGGAATGGACAGACAGACAGGCTAGCAGCCATGGCACGTCAAGGGACAGGCATGCAAGCTGCCATGGGGCACTTTTTTCCCCAACAGCTCTTCAGTCTGGTCATGTCTAACTGCACAGGTCCTGGACACGCACTCCGGGGAACTTCCTGCACAGGCTTGGAGGATACTGAGAACCAAACAGGCAGGCAAAAAAGCCCTGAGGATGGCTCTTGATAGCACATGAAGGATAAGTTATGTCATGACCCTGCTGCAGATAACAACCTGCCAAGGGCTCCTTTGCCCTGCAAAGAAGGCACCATAAAACTGGATGGGTCAAGGAGTGAAGTTGTTCCAGGCTGAAAACTTCAGCAAACTTGTACAGTCTTTTGATATTCCCTGGAATTTTTGTTTTAGAAAAGACTGAGCATGATCTGCAAAAAAATACAGCCCATGGGAAACAACTGGCTTGTTGGCACCATAGTCCACCAGACCAGCAGTCACCTGCAGCTCCAACAACACTTTGTGGTCCCCCAGCTCCCACTGACCATCTCAAGTCTGCCCCAAAAAGTCCTCCTTACATCAGCTCACACTACTCTTTGGGGACCCCCTGCCCTGAGCACAGTAAGGACAAGGTGACCGTGGGGAAGATCTTTACCTTCAGCTCCTGCATGGTTAACTCCTTGCCATGCTCTTTGCCGCTCTCTATCAGGATGTCGAGTGCATCAGCATAGTCCTTGCCCTGCGTGTTCTGCAGTTTCTCCTGGATGGCTTTCTCCAGCCCCTTCTGCAGTGTCTCACGTGCCCGGATGCCCTGTGGATCCAAGAAGCCATCAGACCATGCAGGACACAACACTAGTTGGACAAGCAGTTGGACTAGATGATCATTGTAGGTCACTTTGAAGTGAAATATTCTATTTGATTCTATTCTAGCAGCACCATCCCCAGCCCAGTGTTCCCAGGAGCCGGAGACATGCTCAGGACAACATGTCTAAGTAATACAACTGCAATTGCAGATGCTCAAAGAGAAGAATAAAGATGCTGAGGTTGTTCCCGGGGCAGGAGGAGAAAGCCCCGAGCGGGTGAAATTACAGGCAACAGTAATCAGCACCTACATGCAAATGATAGGTCTGATGTGGGAGCCCCACTACTGCACCAGTTCACAGGCCTCCAGCGCACCCTGGGATGTATGGCAGTCCCTGGGAAAATTGTCTCTCAGAGAAAAGTCAATTCATCTGAAATGGTCCTCTTCCTGGGAGCATAATGGGCTTCCCAAGCACTTTTATCACCTGGTCTCAGTAAAGCAATTCCTATCTGAGTGCGGCTGCGGTGAGCCAACCCGCTGCTGCAAATGGTTGGGCTCCTTCATGTGGTGAAATAACAGTAAGAAAATTTGCAGTGAGAATCACACAGATAAATTTTAACCCCCTGAATTTCTGTTAGCAAAATTCCCCACGAAAAAAAATATAAATTTTTGCCTTATGTTTTTTATTGGTTTTGGTTTGCATCGTTCACCAAAAAATGAGAACAGTTCATGAGATTAGAACGTCCACTGACCTGTTTCACCTTGGGGACAGGAGGGAATTAACAGGAGAAGGTCCCACAAACAAAAAAAATACAGCAGAAGTGCTATATTAATCACTGTAACAAGTGAGGAAAAATTACCCATTAAATCTGGGCAAATCCTGATTATGTTCTTTCTGGCATCAAACTCACAGTCCCTAGCATTCTAAAAACCCGTGAATGGATCTCCCTCTCCACTCCATAGAAACAAGACTTTGTTCTCTCAAAATGGACCTGCTTCTAGAGGTCACAGTGTGAGAATACATTCCAACAAGAACCTGTAGAGATGGGTACTAGCCTCCGTCCCATTAATCCCAGTAATTTGGTGTTAATGGCTGGCGGAGCACTCATCCCAAATTTCTTACCCTCCTGTAGCCGCTGAAGGGCAGATCCACAGGCAAGGAGAAGACGTTCTCCACAAACTGCTGGTAGACCTCGAAAAGGCGGCTGAGCTCCTCATCAGGGATGCGGAAGCCCAGCAGGACACGGATGGCCATGCGGAAGGTGAGCTTCTGAGTCTCGTGGTAGACGTTGATGGACTCAGGGTTGCTGCTCCAGGCCCGAAGGGTGTCTTTGATCACCAGCTGGATCTTGGGGAGATAGCTCTCCAGTGCTTCATGGCTGAAGATTTTGGAGAAAACCTACAAAACAGAGTGAGCAGAGATTTCTACACAGTTCCAACACCGTCATCTTTGCCTTCTCTGGTAACCAGCTTCCGTCCATAAAAATGGACATCACAGGTCCACTTAGCAGAAGACTCAGTATCATCCAGAATTCATCATACAGCATCACCAATTTCTAAAACAGCTGCCAAAAAGGGTCAGTGGAGAAATACCAGCTGACAGATCCTCCACAGGGTGATCCCTGCCACAACCATCACAAAAGATGGGCAATAAGGGCAATAACACGGCGCAAAGCAGAGACACGAGGTAATGCTTCACCCTGCACACAGCAGGATGGATGGAGCCCGCTTTCCCTCAGCTCCATGTCTGATGGCTCCCAGTTACATTCAGCCCAAGATTCGGATGCCATTAATACATCTTTTCCATGGGGCTTCTCTAGTGTCTAATGTTATGGTTGTGCACACACACACACAGACACAGGCGAGCTTTTTCTCTCGATGGGAAGTATTTGCAGTTTCTCCCACCTATCAACCACCCTTTTTTTTAATATATGTAAAAAAATGAGTAAAATCATTATTTTGAGGCATTTAGGAACTCTGTGAAATCTGGCTGAACTTAGACAGGGCTTGGAGTGGGGAAGAGAGGCGCACACGTACGCAGAGCCTGCAATTGCACACGCCTCATTTCCTTGGGAAACCGGGCAGAGAAACTGATGTCAGCAGACAGTATTAATTTAAGGTCTGCGAGTAAACACTGTGCGGGAGTGGGCCTCCCCAGGTCCCTGATGCTAACGGCTCCTTACTCCAATTTGGGCCCGGGCCCTCGCGTTGCACGAGAAGCTCAGCAATGCCAGGAATGTCCCTGCAGCCCTCCCCGACGTGGCCCACAGCACACGCTTTCATTCGGTATCCCCGCCGCATCCCTCCCAGAGTGTACCGGAGGAAAAAGTGCTGTTTGTTTATTTTTTATTAACCTACACACACACACACTCACACACACGGGGTGGCACGCACACACGCACCTCCACATGCCAGGCCGCCGGGAAAACCAAATTAAAACAGCCTCTCAAGGCGGGAGCTGCGAGCCTGCGCAGCCTCCACTGGTGGCCAGTTCCCGGGGGGGCTCAATGCACGGTGGTTATCAGTTATCAGACCAACAAGAGGAGAGAAATCAAAGCCGCCCCCTCTTTCCATGAGCGCCGGACTCGCTGGAGCTGTAAATGTGAGAATTTCCTTCACAGTCAGCACTCAACAGGGAAAGGTAACATTTTCCTGGCTGCGACCCCTCATTGCTAATGCACATCATTCGCTGGGAGTTTGTTTGGTGAAATAACACCTCTGTCCCCTCGCAGCCCTGGGCAGGAGGCTCGACAAGAGCCACTTCATAACAAGCTGCACTCGGGCTGAGCCCCGAGTAAAACTCATCACGCAATACATGGTGGGGCAGAGCGCAGAGGCTCCCTGCAGGAATACCAGCATGCAAATGGGATGCTAGGAGGAGTACTGGGAGAGAAAAATGCAAGCAGACCAAGGGACAGATCTGCCTGCAGACAGACAGCCCTCCCCGGATGGCTACGCAGAGCACAGGCATGAATGAACAGAACGGAGGAATGAATGAACGAAGAGTGGGGCCACGGCGAGATCACAGTGAGGGCATGAGACAGTGCGGCTGCTGCTTTCTGTCACCTCCCTGTGCTCCACAAGTTATATTTAAGCCTGGAAAGGGCAGCCATGCTCAGGAAGACTTGCCTGCGTAAGGAGGTGAAAAAGCAGCCACTCGGAAAAGAAAAGCTGGAGGTGCTAAAGCTGAGCCCCTCAGCTGCCTGGGGAAGGTACGAAGGGAGCTGGGGAAGGGCCAGTTCCTGGTGGCCATGAGTGGGACACGAGACTCTGATGCAGTGCCGGCTGGAGGAGAGCTGGCAGCCACAAGCTGCTCAACAGGGATGGGACAGGACCTCCTGAGAAGGGCCAGCAAAGGGACACCAATGTCTCCCCATCCGGCTGGTGTCTGCCCTTCATCCATGCTGAGCGGTTTGAGATAAGGACCGAGGCTCCCAGTGACTCACCCTGCTCTCCCCAAATGCTTCCTGTGCGCTTGTTTCTCCAGCTGAAAGCAGAGCCCATGAGGAGAGAGCCTCCGCTTAAGGAGCCCTGAGGCTGCAGCCCTGCTTGGAGCCAATGTCCTGATTGAGGTGGCCCCTGGGGCTCCCAACCTGGGGCAAACCCCATCCTCCCCCAGCCTTGCCCAGTATCTCCCACAAAGCAAAGTGCTTGGGGACACCCTGCACCCTGCAAAAAGCACTGCAGCCCAAGAAATGCCTTTGGTCCTGCTGTGCAAAGCTGCTGCGATGGTACACAGACCCAGCATGGGGCCAGACCCACACCCTGTGGACCGAGCCAGACTCTGAAAAGAAGAGTGCCTGTCGCAAGGAGCGATGTGCAGTGAAGGCGCAGAGGAGAGGACACTCGAGAAGAGAAGGCTGAGCCCCTATGGAGGTCAACACACCACCTGCCCAGCCTGAAAAAGAGTGAGCATTTAGCACTAGGAGACTGGGGGGGGGGGATTTCTTTTTCTTGCTCTTTTTTGAGCTGTCCTTTTGCTACCAGGCTCCTCCAGCCTCAGCCAGCTGTGTCCCACATCTGCCAGAGCCTGCAGCTCCCGGCCATGGGGCTGGCCGACACCGCGAGCCCCGGCCACGCTGCCGGCTCGCTGCAACGGCCCGTCCGCTCGCCGCCTCTGTGCTCCACGCCGCCTAATCCCAGATGTCAGCGGATCCTTCCCCAGCCAGACACAAGTCTGGATCCCCTTCCAGTCACCTCCAGTTCAACCCTGCATCTTTCCAGTTGATTAAAAAGGAGGAAAAGGCAGCCAACTTTCCCCGACGAACCTCGGCACGTTTCTAGCCTAAAATTACTGCGCCCTCTAGTGAAGCCAAACCGAATGGCTCGGCCACTCGACGGAGCGAGACCAGGCAAAGCCAAGGAGCACAAGAAAGTGCAAACTTTAAGAAAGTTGCTCCACAGCTGCCAAGAGGCAAAAATCAGCTCTAAGGGGATGTCCAGCTCTGCTAACGCTGAGACGCAATAGCCCAGCCATGGTGGGGGTCCAGTTGGCTTGCCCCAGCAGCAGTGCCGGGGCAGTGGCCAGGACTTTTGGTGGATGCTGGAAAGAGCATTTTCATATATTGGTAGGTCCCAAAAGAGCCAAGTCTGGGGGTTTGCTCCATCCAGGGGCATTCATTCACACCCACACATGTGCATTCACTCTGCACTGAGGGAGACACCACCACCCAGCGAGCCTGGCTGGAAACTCCTGAGTCCGTCTCATAGTGGAAACAGGATATTTAAAGATTTATAGTCTTCCTAAGTCAGAAAATTCATTCCCAGTGTCACAGCTCCAGGATCTCCTGGAGAGGTCCAGCTCCGTGTGACAGCAAACTGCCCCTGGTCCTGGCTGGAGAATACCTCAGCCCCGTCCTTAAAGCACACTGAAGACAAGAGGACATTCAAGTGAAGAGCCCTGAGCTTCAACCCACAGCGTTTTCATGCACAGCAAAGACTTTGTTTAGTGGCTGGGGTAGAGAGTATTTAGCAGAGACAGTGCTCCTCATTGTGTTACCACCTCTTAGTGCCAGCTCCAAGCATCAGCTTCAGCCCCCACCTTTTGCCATCCATGATCTGCAGGTCCCCCGCTCCCACCTGGCACATCAGCATGGAATGGAGCTTTTACTTCCGCTCCTCCAGGAAGAAAACTTACGTTTCGGGATCGGACACCTGTGTTTCATCCAGCCTGCACCAGCCAGAGCTGCTAGCCCAACCAAACGAAGACATGATTAGCATGGAGACGTTTTGACGAACCAATTTGGCACCCGCCAGCGGCTTGGCCAGTGGGACATGTTAGGAAGCATCCAAAGCAGCGTCTCAACCTGGAGACATACTATTTCTTCTTAAGTTTCAAAGGCCAGGCGGTGTTTGTCCCAACTCTGTCCTGTCACCACATTATAATGGATGTCTGCCTCTCTCCAGCATCAGACGCGGGCCTGCCAGACATGGAGCCCACTGCCATGCTCCAGCGGGCTTGTAAACTATGATATTTTTGGAGCGGGATGAGAAGGCTCATGGGCAAGAGGCTGCCCTGGCATCAGGAGCACAAGCAAAGCGAAAACACAGCAAAGAAGTTGTGAAGACTATGCAAGGCACCACAAAGAGGAAAGGGCCTCCACAAAACCCCACCGCTGCCCTGACACTCTGCCGTCTATTTTTAAAGGGCTTTGCCTTTCATGGGCACATAGCAAAGAGCTGATGCCTTTTCTTCCCATGCTGTAGTTGGAAAATGGCACATGTGCATCACTCCAAGATCTGCCATGCTCCATCATTAGAGGAACCCAGGCCTATTGGGAGGGAAAAGCCAAGAGTTGCAGCTCCCAGCCACCCAAAATGAGCATCATGGGGTTTTCTCCTCAAAGCATAACGCTGCACGAAAAGTGCTGGTGAGGAGCACGGGTGTCTCAGGGGAGCTGAAGGCAGCAACTTCTCCCAGAGAGATGCAAGAGCCCCACAAATGTATTGACCTGTCTCCGAAGGGAGTCTGGTTACAGTAGGTGGGGTCTCCAAATTCAGACCAAGTGAAGAAAAGAAATGGAGAGCCTTTGCAAAAGGCAGTTTTACTGAAAATCAAATTATTCTCAAAAAGTGTGCTGTGAAAAATGTAAAGATCATTTCAGCATCCTTGAGCCACATTATGATGATCACGCACCTTTCCAGGTTGCCCATACCGCTAATTTTTTAAATTTTTTTTTTAAACATCTAGGCTTGTGGGAAACACCAGCATTTAATGTCTCCACTGGAGTTCAGAAAAAATATGAGACCAAGTAGCCCATTTCCCAAGGGCTCAAAAATCCCCATGAATGAGCATCTCTCCTACAGCCCTCCTCCCACATGGCATAGGAGACTTCACTTTCAAGCTGAGACCCTCTAACAGGCTATCAGGTTAAGGGGATTGCGATGCACAGGCTGTGG